GGGGAGGGCCTCTAGGCTAGAAGCAGGTGACTAAATTTTGGCTGAAAATTAAAAATTCAGGCTGTAAAAACAGTTGCTTCTGCTTATTAAAACCCTAAATTCTATGCATCTTTCTTAATGGCTGTGAAAACTAATGCTCAGAAATCTTTAACCTCATCTGCTTCCATCCCTTAACTCTTCCCTTCCATCTGCTTGTGTCCCTCTTCCCAAAGATCACAGAGCAGACCTGCCTGCCCAAGCAGTGGACTGGCAGGCGTTGCGTGTCTGTGTTGGGGTGAGGGTCACAAAACCTTTGGGCATGTTGGATTGGGGGTGTGCATGCCAAGGCCCTCAAAAGCATGGAACTCTGAAGATGTAAAGGTGGTTAGGAAAAGTCTGGGGCTAAAGCATCATAAGGACTGTGGTGCTCTGATATTTTCAACAAGATTTAAAATTAGAGTAATTTGATGAAATAAATAAGGATTTTGTTAAGGTCTAATAATAGAGATACCTGATAATGCTGTAACAACACAAAAAATAAACACTTAAAAAAAATCTCTCTGAAACTAAACCTAAAATCTCAGATTGAGTTACTGACATTTTTCAGATCTCCACAGTGTCCAACCCTGTAAAAACCAAGCTGCAGTGTAATTGCAAAAGTGAACTAGGTTTTGTCACGTTATCCCTTTTAAAGGAAAATACACACCTAAACAGAAAAGAAATACTGTTGCTTAGTGGCTGCTTATATGAACTATATCAAAAGATAAAGAAGTTGTTCTTAATGTCACCACGTAAAGCTTCTGCACTCATTTCCGTAGAAGTTAAGTATTCTAATATAACCCACAGAGGCAATGATTGTGATGTATATGCTTAAGTCAGTGCTTAATGCACATCCTGAAAGCTGGTATACAACAGATGAGCCCAGGGTTCAGTGTTGTATTTATTCACACTATTTCACATTAAGTGTATTTTCACATTATTGTAAAAGCTAGGGGAGGTACAGAAGTGCAAGCCGGAGGTCAAAAGGCCCTTATGAATTAAAATATTTTTTAAAAGTCTTATTTAACTGCTAATACCATAAGTTAGCTTGCCTAGTCAACAGTTAACCAGGAATGAATTCAGTCTGCCCTTAAAATGTAGGCAAATTACTAAACTACAGGAATAAATATATCATGAAGTTTTTCCCTGTTACTGAAAACCTTTTGCAAATTGAATTGCCTGTGAGTTTAAAGTTACTACAGACACTGTGTTGTCTATCTTTTGAATTCTTGGAGGATAAAGATGTATAGATGTTTTCACTACATTTTCCCTTTATTTTGAGATGGGTCACCAGGAAGTAATAATAAATTCTAAACATTACTTGGCTGCAGTTACCGATACAAACATTCTTCATATTATCTCATAGGAGAAACCAAATAATGCTCCTTATCAATGGTGACATAACCTTTCATACTCGGGATTGGCAAAGCTCTTTTATTTAGTTAGAAGCTTGGTTGTGTATTAACGTAGAAGATAACTGCTCATATATACTGAGTGCACCATGTTAAGGAAAGGCTTGTTCTGCGTAGGCAATGATCTTGCGTTAGAAAATTACTTCGGTGAGCTGATTTTGAACCATTCCAGTAAGTCTCTTAAGAGTTTAAATTTATTGCTATGTACTACTAAAAGTGACTTGCAGAAGGGGTAAAAAGGGTAAAATTCTGCCTCAAAGATTTAAAAGAAGATAACTGCAAACATTCCTTTCTTCAAGTCAGATTGCTCCCGCTGACAGGCCTAGGAGATGACCAAAAAATGGGGGTGTTTTAAATTACATAGTACTGATTGAGGGTGAAGAGCATTTAAGATTCATATTTTTTTAACACTTGTTTACATAAACTACTATGAAGAGTCAGAGGATACAGTGTTGTCCCACGTCACTGTTATTTATTCAGTGCCTCCCAATTGTAGTTACAAACTGATAATTCTAAGTGATTTATGAACTTAAATTGTCTGTCAAAAAAAGGATACAAGACTTGACACTGATGAAGCCGTCACCCTCAAAATCTAAAGGGGCAGTTTCTGTTTCCTCTTTAAATATGAGGAAAAGAAAAAAGACTAAACCCTTTTTTCTCTTCAGGTCAGCTTTTACTAGTAACAGCTAAATCAGTGGGATTTATTGAAATGCCAGAGTTTTCCCTCTATGCATATTTGCATTATTGCTTCCTAGTTCTGCAAATAAAACCCACTCATGCAAATGTTAAAGTACATAAAGTACATGCAAAAAAGAATACACAAGTGCGTTTGTACGAATGGTCAATAACTTGGGTATTTTTAAGATGTAGAAAGAAAAAAAAATATTTTAGAGGTGTGGCTTTTTCTCTATGGTTTTGCAGCTGAATTTACTGTGTTCTGTGCAGAATGGCTGTTGATGGTGGGTGTGGGGGCACTGGAGACTGGGAAGGTCGCTGGAACCATGTAAAGAAGTTCCTCGAGCGATCTGGACCATTCACACATCCTGATTTCGAGCCAGGCACTCAAGTGAGAAATACTTACTTTAAATAAATAAACTGTAGTGTGTGTTGCAGTCTAATGTGAAGTTTCATTGATTGACCACAGCAGTGTATGAATGCTAAAACCGCATGAAAAGCTTTTATTTTAGTCAACTGAGCATTATGATTCTAGAAAAACGTGCTGTATTCCTTTGGTAAGCTTGTATTTCTAACGTGTACAGTCAGCTACAAGCTTGCTGTCATCATGTGTGTAAATGTATAATGATATATGAATTATGCTCTGTTCCACATGAAAAATTGTCTCTCCATTTTTAAGTAATTAGATACATTAAGAAATTACTTAAAGAAGGGATTAAGGTTAATATAAATACTTAAGAGAACTGGGAAAGATGTTTAATAGGGAAGAGCAAAATTTACACTGTGTTACTTATTACTTCTGCTTTCCTTTTTTGGTACATTTTGTTTCAGAGCTGACAGTTGAAGGTATTTTACTGTTACCTTTTTAATGTAGTATTCCATGATTTACTGGTTTGAGGCTGAGGTCCAGTAGAGCAGTTCACAGAAAGCAATTCTATAGTTAAAAATCTCAATTCTTTTTGGCCAGCAATGTTAAGATTTATTTTGTATTATATATCAGTAAAATTTTTGGAGGAAGAAAACATTATTATAATAATAAAGGCAGACCTTGCTTTTTTCATGTTCGAAGTTGATACAAAGAGAACACTGATATCAACAAAGGTCTTGCTTTTCTGTGAGTTGGGATATAGGAACTGCATGAACTTGTAACTGATTAAAGTCTGGTGTGTCATTACTCCTGCAAGCACAAACTGTTTTATTGATGTCAGTTCTTTTTATGTGAAACGTGTTAGGCACTGAAAATGTACAGCAATGCATTTGTAAGGATTGTAAAGCAAAGGACAAATTAAACTTTCTCCTGTTCAGTGTATTAATTCTTTGTTTTATATTTTCCACAGGCTCTTGAGTTTTTGTTAAGCACATGTAAAGTACTAGTTATTGGAGCAGGAGGATTAGGATGCGAACTCCTGAAAAACCTGGTAATGACTCAGTTTTCACCCTTTTGCTTCTTAGATTCTTTATTTTCCTTGAGGAAATGATCTCCTGCTTTGCTAACTTGGCATTTTTTATTGTATGTAGCTACTAAGTTTCTAAGTCCTGGTGCAAATGTATAAAATACATGATGATACAGACAAACTTGAAGAACATGCTTTGTTAATAGGCTGAAAAGGTGGTAGTTAATATGTTATGTGCTATTTGTTTAGTGATCTCAAAGCTTGTAATGAGGGACAACGTGGTGCTGTTTGTGAAGCTTGGACAAATGTTCACTTGTGGCCTTAGATACGGTGTAATGTTGGTGATTTTCCCTATCTACCAGATCTAGAGAAATGAAGTAAAGTAAGAACAAATCATAGTGACACAAGGAAGTGTTGTTTCTAATATAGTGGCTACAATGTATCTTTTCAGATACATTGAGATACATTGAACTGCCATAAGTAGCTAGTTTAGTATTAACAGTCAAAGCTGAATTTAATTTCCGTTTATTTTATATTTTTTTATCCAAAGTAAGGCTAGAATTACTGGAATGATTTAATACTAATAATACTTTATTATGAAATAACTTCTTTCCTTGATTTATGCCAACACTCACAGATTAGTGTACTTTACTGTAGCATTTATGTACTGCTTTTTCAGTATTTCCACGGATGACCTCCAAGTTTGAGATGCTTGATAAATCAATAGGCTCACTTAAAGCCAGGCATTCCAGATCCATTAGCTTAGGGATTTCCCAGCTCCAGCATTTGTGTATGCTCTTCTTCTGGTTGCTGTTTTGTTGCTGCAATGCTTAAGCAGGGTTTTACTTGAAGTGACTATGACAGCTCCAAGGTGGTTTTCTTTCTTTGGGAATTTAGTGCTGGTGAATTTAACCTTTGCCCAGAGCTACTGTTTTATGGGTTTATTGGGACATAACAACTTCAATCTGTTGATAGCTTGTCAAGAGAGAGGATTTGTGTGGGATAAGGGACTTGATGAGTCTGCTGGGTGTACTCAGTTCCCATCCCTTCAAAAGGGTTTTAAGTTATCGTTGTTAATTTGTATAAATTTAATCATTTTACCAATACAACATTTTCAGTATTTATTGTGCATGAGATGGCTCTGTTTATTCAGAAAATGTTAAATGAAAAGTTTGAAAGTCTTTATTTATATATATATATATAAAGATTGAGTCTTAAAGGAAAAAATGTAGATGATGGGACTAAATTTTTTTTAGTCACTTCAGAACTTCACAACACTTCCCTTCTCTAAACCCAGTGTTTTATGGCATTATTTCCCTTTAACCACAGGTCTCATTGTTTCTTTGTTCTTTTTTCTCAGACCCACAACACGCTTCCATGACAATTTTACTTCAAAGTTATTTCCCAAATCTAGTGATGCAAACAGAGATGGGGCAGAACCATGGTTTGATGTGTTCATGTGTCCATGGTTTGATGTGTTCTTGGGTAGTGAGGTGACTCTGTTCTCATGCTGTGCCGGCATTGAATACAGTGAGGAATTTTGTCTTATTTTGAACTCTGATTTGAGAGTGGATTTGCCAGGTTTATCTTATCTTTCCTATGTGACCTAGTCTAGTCCTGTGTGACCTAGTCTAGGTGATCCTGCCCTGGTAGGGGGGTTGGATTGGATGATCTTTTGAGGTCCCTGCCAATTCCTAATATTCTGTGATCTAGGCCAACTACGAAAATGGTGGATGTTGAAAAACGTGACATTTTAGAGGAATTAAATGTTGTTTGCCTATTCCTGCCAAGGAAGAAAGTGCTTATGGTATTTCTTCAAATCCTGTGGGGTTTTTTCCTCAATGAATGCTTGTGATTTACTGCAGTTGTGAGGGAACACTGCAAATTTCGCATATAGATCAGCCAACTGTGGGCTTCCCTGTGTTATTGTTAGGTAGGCTAAAGCAGTAGTACCTTCAGTAGAAGGTTGTGTTTGACCACTGAAGTGTCACTAACTGCATAGGAACCAAGGATATTCTTTTGACAAAGAACAACCATGGACCTGTTTGCACAGGCAATGAGGAGCAAATGTGTTTGTTCCTCCAAAGGTTGCTTTTTTGTCATGTGGAATGAACTCTGGAGCACTGTAAGAATTTCACTTGCTATTAAATGAAGTTGGCTTGTCTCTTTTCACAGGCACTGTGTGGCTTTAGACAGATCCATGTTATTGATATGGATACTATAGATGTCTCCAATCTTAACCGACAGTTTCTGTTTCGGTAAGTGGTATTTTCATGATTCGAGTTTTGTTTTTTTAAATGTACTTAAACAAAACGTGTGAATATGATCATTATTTTGCCTGAACAAGACATCATTAAAGATTCTTGAGCTTTCATATTACAATAGTACTCATAATTAACTAAATGTAACATGTGCTTCATTCTTGTTTTGAGATCTGTGTTGTCATAGTTTAAGCGTGAAGAAAATGAACATATGTTCCTTACCATTCAAATACAGCTAATGACTAATTGAAAAGGTAACACCAAAGGATAATGCACACAGATTAAGATATCAATTTTTCTGGTGCTCTTTTCTTCCAAGCAAAATTAAAAAATGTTGTTTTTTTTTTTTCCTACTGATAACTGTAATTGCATGGACACAGATAGATAACTTGGGGGCTCT